TTGGAAGGTTGAGCAGGAGAATTGCTTGAACCTGGATGTGAAGGTTGCAGTGAGCCAAGATCGTTGCCCACCAATTCACTCCAGCCTGAGGTGCATGAGACTCTGTCTCAAGAAAACCCCCAAACCGGCTAGTTTTTTGTATTTTTTAGTAGAGATGGGGTTTCACTGTGTTAGCCAGGATGGTCTCGATCTCCTGTCCTCATGATCCGCCCGTCTCGGCCTCCCAAAGTGCTGGGATATTTTTTGTATTTTCAGTAGCGACTGGGTTTCACCATGTTGGCTAGGCTGGTCTTGAATGCCTAGCCTCAAGTAATCCACCCACCTCAGCCTCCCGAAGAGCGGAGATTACAGGTGTGAGCCACTGTGCCCAACCCAACCCTGGATCTCTTTTAAACAAGACAATGCTCACTGTTGCCACAGAACAATGGGTGGGGTACGTGTGGCCCAGTGTGTTTGGCCACATAACTGCCAGGCCAGCGGGAAAGAGACTCCAGACTGTCTCCACTCAGATACAAATGTTGTGTGTGTTGTGTGTGTGTGTTCTGGTCTCATGTTTGTTTGTTTTGAGACAGGGTGTCGCTCTGTCACTGAGGCTGGAGCGCAGTGGCGCAGTCAGAACTCACTGCAGCCTCAAACCACCGGGATCAATCAGTTCTCGCACTTCAGCCTCCCACGTAGCTGGAACCACAGGTGCACACCAGTGCGCCCAGCTAAATTATTTTATTTTTAGTAGAGATGAGGTCTCACTATGTTGTCCAGGCTGGTCTTGATCTCTTAGCCTCAAGCAATCCTCCTGTCTTGGCCTCCCAAAGTGTTGGGATTACAGGCGCAAGTCATTGTGCGTGGCTTGTGTTCTTATGTTTCTTCCTTTCTTTTTCTTTCGAGGTAGCGTCTCAGTCTGTCACCCAGGCTGGTGTGCAGTGGTGTGATCATAGCTCACTGTAGCCTCAGCTTCTTGGGCTCAAGCAATCCTCCGATTTCAGCCTCCTGGGCCTGGCCAGCATGGTGAAACCCCGTCTGTACTAAAAATACAAAAATGTAGCCAGGTGTAGTGGCGCGTGCCTGAAATCCCAGCTACGCGGGAGGCTGAGGCAGGAGAATCGCTTGAACCTGGAAGGTGGAGGTCGCAGCGAGCCGAGATCATGCCACAGAACTCCAGCTTGGGCGACAGAGACAGACTCTGTTTCAAAAAAACCCCAAACAAACCATATTTGGAGTTTGGGGTTCCCAGCAGGGCTGTTTCCCAAGCCTGAGCCTGGCTGTTTCTGCCAGAATTCGTTGCACGTGTTGGCTGGGATCCTCCCCCACCCTCCAGCCTCACAGCTATTCTCTGTCCTCCCACCAGCTTCATGTACTGGACTGACTGGGGAACTCCCGCCAAGATCAAGAAAGGGGGCCTGAACGGTGTGGACATCTACTCGCTGGTGACTGAAAACATTCAGTGGCCCAATGGCATCACGCTAGGTATGTTCGCAGGACGGCTGTCCCAGCCAGGGCCGGGCACAGGCTGAAGGACTGACGGGGGTCGCCAGGTGGCTCTGGGACAAGCCCAAGCTGCTCCCTGAAGGTGTCCCTCTTTCTTTTCTTTGTTTTTTTCTTTTTTTGAGATGAGGTCTTGGTCTGTCACCCAGGCTGGAGTGCAGGGGCGCAATCGTAGCTCACTGCAGCCTCCACCTCTCAGACTCAAGTGATCCTCCTGCCTCACCCTCCTGAGCAGCTGAGACTACAGACACGTGCCACCACACAGACTAATTGTATTTTATTTTGGGGAAGAGACAAAGTCTTGTTATGTTGGCCTGGCTGGTCTCAAACTCCAGGGTGCAAGGGTCCCTGCCACCTCCGTCTTCCAAACTGCTAAGATGACAGGCGTGGGCCGCCGTACCCAGCCTCCCTGAGGTTTTTCTGACCTGCAGCTCCCCTACCTGCCTGTTGCAGAGGGCGTCACAGGGGAGGGGTTCAGGCTCACACATGGTTGGAGCTGCCTCTCCAGGTACCTCTGCCGGGTCCCTGGGGGGTTCTTCCTGCCCGGATCAGCGTGGCCAGGCCCGCAGGCCCCTCTGGGACTGGCATCGGCGCGTGACCTCTCTTTATCCACTTGTGTGTTCTAGATTTCCCCAGTGGCCGCCTCTACTGGGTTGACTCTAAACTTCACTCCATCTCAAGCATCAACGTCAACGGGGGCAACCGGAAGACCGTCTTGGAGGACGAAAAGAGGCTGGCCCACCCCTTCTCCTTGGCCATCTTTGAGGTGCGGCTTACGTACGAGATGCAAGAACTTAGATGGCAGATAGACACAGACTGTGTAGATCACTCAAGCCAAGACGAATGCGGAAAACTGGTCGTGACTAGGAGGAGGTCTTAGACCTGAGTTATTTCTATTTTCTTTTTTTTTTTTTTGAGACGGAGTTTCGCTCTTGTTGCCCAGGCTAGAATGCAATGGTGTGATCTTGGCTCACCGCAACCTCCACCTCCCAGGTTCAAGCAATTCTCCTGTCTTAGGCTCCCCAATAGTTGGGATTATAGGCATGGACCACCATGCCCGGCTAATTTTGTATTTTTAGTAGAGACAGGGTTTCTCCATGTTGGCCAGGCTGGTCTCGAACTCCTGACCTCAGGTGATCCGCCTGCCTCTGCCTCCCAAAGTGCTGGGATTACAGGCGTGAGCCACCGCGCCTGGTGCTTTGTATTCTTTTTACTGAGAGCAGTGAAAGGCAGGGATCCTCGGTCACATGTGATCTTGGCTCTCAGGGCACATTTGACGATTTCTAGAGATTTTTTGGTTGTCACAAGTTGATGGGGAAGACTGTTGGCATGTAGTGGGTAGAGGCCAGTGACGTTGCTGAACGCCCAGAACAGAGAAGTAGCAGGCCCTAGATACAGCCACGATGGGGAAACCTGCTCTAAGGAAATGGCATTATTTTATAACCCCACGTTCCTGGCAGCATGATTACCCAGAGCCAAAAGTGGAGTCCCCCCAGGTCTGTTCGTCCATTTGCATTTTAGTAAAGGAATAGCTGAGGCCGGGTAATTTATAAAGAAAAGAAGTTTAAACTGGGCACGGCAACCTACGCCTATAATCCCAGAACTTTGGGAGGCTGAGGCAGGAGGATCACTTGAGTCCCGGAGTGCGAGACCAGCCTGGCCAACATGACGAAACCCTGTCTCTACAAAAAATACAAAAAGGGCCGGGTGCGGTGGCTCAAGCCTGTAATCCCAGCACTTTGGGAGGCCGAGATGGGCGGATCACGAGGTCAGGAGATCGAGACCATCCTGGCTAACACGGTGAAACCCCATCTCTACTAAAAATACAAAAAATAGCCAGGTGTGGTGGCACACGCCTGTAGTCCCAGCTACTCGGGAGGCTGAGGCAGGAGAATGGTGTGAACCCGGGAGGCGGAGCTTGCAGTGAGCTGAGATCTGGCCACTGCACTCCAGCCTGGGCGACAGAGCGAGACTCCGTCTCAAAAAAAAAAAAAAAAACAAAAAGTAGCCAGGTGTGGTGGCAGGCACCTGTAATCCCGGGTTCTCCAGAGACCGAGCCATGAGAATTGCTTGATCCCAGGAGTTGGAAGCTGCAGTGAGCCAAGATCATGCCACTGCACTTCAGCCTGGGCGACAGAGTGGGACTCTGTCTCAAAAAAAAAAAAGAAAAGAAAAGAAAAAAAGTTCTGGAAATGGATGGTGGTGATGGTGATACTTGCACAACAGTGTGAATCTGCTTAAGGCCATTGAACTGTGCACTTACAAATAGCTGAGATGGTACATTTTATGTTATGTATATTTTTACCACAATTAAAAACTAGTTGTGGGCCAGGCATGGTGTCTCATGCCTATAATCCCACCACTTTGGCAGGTTGAGGGAGGCGGATCATGAGGTCAGGAGTTCGAGACCAGCCAGGCCAACATGGTGAAACCCCATCTCTACTAAAAATACAAAAAATAGCCAGGTGTGGTGGCATCACGCCTGTAGTCCAGCCCTAACTCGGGAGGGCTGGAGGGCAGGAGAGCCCCCTCCTTGAACCTGGGAGCTAAGATTGCAAGGTGAGCCCGAAATTGTCCACTGCACTCTAGCCGGGGTGACAACAGCAAGAGTAGTCTCAAAAAAAAAAAAAAAAAAAGGCTAGCCCTGTGGGTGAGCAATGGTGTCTCACGCCTGTAATGCCCAGCACTTTGGGAGACCCCGAGGCAGGTGATAGCCCTGAAGGTCAAGAAGTGAAATCCAGCCTGCCAACATGGTGAAAATTCCCCGTCTCTACTAAAAATACAAAAAATTAGCCAGGTGTGGTGGCATGTGCTTGTAATCCCAGCTACTCGGGAGGCTGAAGCAGGAGAATTGTTTGAACCCGGGAGGTGGAGGTTGCAGTGAGCCGAGACTGGGCCACTGTACTCCAGCCTAGGCAACAAGAGTAAAATTCTGTCTCAAAAAACAAACAAACTAGTTGTGGAGAGAGGGTGGCCTGTATCTCATCCCAGTGTTTAATGGGATTTGTCATCTTCCTTGCTGCCTGTTTAGGACAAAGTATTTTGGACAGATATCATCAACGAAGCCATTTTCAGTGCCAACCGCCTCACAGGTTCTGATATCAATTTGTTGGCCGAAAACCTACTGTCCCCAGAGGATATGGTCCTCTTCCACAACCTCACCCAGCCAAGAGGTAAGGGTGGGTCAGCCCCACCGCCCCCCCCTTGAAACCTCCTTGTGGAAACTCTGGAATGTTCTGGAAATTTCTGGAATCTTCTAGTCTATCTGATGATCTGGTTCCTGCCCTGACTCCGCTTCTTCTGCCCCAGGAGTGAACTGGTGTGAGAGGACCACGCTGAGCAATGGCGGCTGCCACTATCTGTGCCTACCTGCCCCACAGATCAACCCCCAGTCGCCCAAGTTTACCTGCACCTGCCCGGACGGCATGCTGCTGGCCAAGGACATGAGGAGCTGCCTCACAGGTGCGGCACACGCCTTGTTTCTGTGTCCTGTGTCCTCCAACTGCCCCTCCTGAGACTCTCTGCTTATCTGTCAAATGGGTACCTCTAAGTCATTGTGAGGACTCATGAGTCGGGAAAACCATACTTTTCTTTCCTTGGATGGACACATCAACACTGGGCTGGACATATACCCAGTTCCCCTTTGATACCTGGTTTCCTCTTTCCCGGACCCCTGAAGAGGTGATATGATTTCTGACAAGGGCCCTGAGGGAGGAAATGGTCCCCTTTGTTGACTTTTATTTCTCTTTTTTGAGATTTGCTGTGTCACCCAG